TGTCATATCAGTTCAGGATGCTTTAATTTGGATCTCTGTATTATGCAGAGGGTTAGACTTGATGGCCAAATAACCTTTTCCAACTCTAAGAATATTGATGAACTATCTATGTGGTCACTAAGAATTGACAACCACGGCACATAAATATTATCATAATCATCTTGGATGAAATAGTAATTAAGTTTTGTAACTTAATGAGAGTCTTGATGCTTGTTGAACACAGAATGTGTGAGCTGATTCTACAGAACAGCATTATTATGTAAATGATGATAAGGTTTTTTTTTCTTTCTGTTTCAGTGTTTCATTTACATTCTAAACATACGAGTGGTTAATCTTCTTTAGTCAGCATTATGAGCAAATGCATTATATACAAATAAGAACAGAATATGTCTCAAATTGAATGCTAGTAAATTTCACATGAATTTTATGAGCATTTAATATATTGTTGTACATTATCAGTTAAAAATAATTGATTATTGTGGAAATGTAGATTATTTTATTGTTTCAAGTCTGTCTTTCCACTCCTGTTACAAACACCACTTTACATACATTTCACTAGAATCTGACTAGATTTTATTAAGCTGTTTTGGTCCAACAATTAATTGCAAATTGAGTTTGAGTAAAAAAGTTTTTAGCCTGGCTAGCTATAAAATACATCTATAGTAAATGACAACACATGACATAATGCAAAACACAATGTTAAATAGATTTTTTTTCTGCCACAGAAGTAGATACATGGGAATTAGGTTTAAGTATAAGAGAATATGCAGTGGCAAATCTTCATCAGATGGCATTACATTGGCTTCATTCTTATGAACAAAACTCATTAGCAAATTTAGAAATCTAATTATGTCAGTAAATTTCTAAATGTCTTACATGAACAATAGTGATATTTATTTCCTATAATAAGATGTTAAAGTCTAATTAAAGTTCTTTCTTTTGGAGTTAAGTGAGATGATTCACGATGAATATATTTTTATCACAATATATAACATTTCTTTCTATGTTACATCTCACTATCAACTCAATCCTTCTCACTGTTAACACTGCCCTTTGTAAAGTCAAAGGTTTTCAGGATAGCTTAGGGGAAAAGTCAACGTACCCTAAATAACTTTCCCTAACATAACACATTCCAGATGTGCTGGACTTTGTTTCTGTGGTGAAACTGGATTATAGAATCTATAACATCTAGAAGATTCCACTATTGGTGTAAATTTGGTTGACTTAAATGGTGACTTTTCCAAGGGTAAGAAATGATTACAGTTTACAGTTTAAGACTGGTTTGTCAACCAACCATGAGCTACAAAATGCTTGTCATTGTCTTTATCTCTCATCTCTAAAGTCATCTTAACTACACACTGTGATTTGCCTTACTTTACTGAGGCAAAATCCAAAGAAATTTTCTCAAATTGTCAATCTAATGGCTTTCCTTTCTATTCACATGTGTAAGCTGGTGTTACCTGCTGAAAATGTAATTGCCACTTATTAGAATAACATGCTTTCTAAATTTCACAAGTTAACATATTCCTAACATAGAAGATTAGATAAGAAGCTATTCAGGTTTGGGTGGGATTTGCTGGGATGGCATGGAATGGAATGGCATATTGGAAACAGTATGTCAATGAGAAGAAACAATTTGTTTACTGTTATGGGCAAATACTGCAGATTTCCAACCATTGGATATTATTATTTCTTCAACCAGCTCCCAGCAGATGGCTCTCTCTGAAGAGCCACCTGGAAAACAAGTGGCTTTCCATAGCTGTTCAGTCACAATTCCCGTAACGTCTAATAATTTGCCCATACTATCAGAAGCTGGTGGAAATTGGTGCTTGACAACATTTAGGGAGTGATAAATCTCTACATTATTACAGAGTGAATCCTGAAGTAATTTGCTAAAGAATCTCTGTAACTGAAACTAGTAAGAACTTAATTTCTTACATTAAAACTTAATGTAATTGAAGCCAGTAAAACTTAATTTTCAATCAAATTCTGGAAGAAAGCTTCCAAAATCCAGGGCATCACCTTCTTCATCTTCATCTCAACTTCCCATTTTAACAACAAATGAGTCATTGTTACATTAGATAAAGTGATATCAAAGTACACTGGGATTTAGTAATAGCATTAAGGAAAGTTCAATTAATATGTTAACCCACTGGGGACTATAAAATCTATATCATATAAGTAACAGCTGTTTTTGCTGAAAATAAAATATAAAATGTACATAGTACATGTAGATTATTAAATGAAACATGAATGAATAGCTTCCCATAAGAGGCCTTCTGCACTTAATTAACTAATCAATTTTCAAGGGCATGAATAAATGTTAATAGCACAAGTTTAATGCCTGTGCATAATAAATAAACTTAAATATCACTGGCATATATTTTGAAACATCAAAGGGAACAGAAGAAAAAGAGAATCGTAAACGTGAACAGTTTGAAAGAAAATGAAGTTTAGGTGACCTAATTAAAAGATTTTTTTTCTCAGCAACAGAAAGACATCAAAGTACTATTTCTAAAGTTTGAAGCTTTCCTCACCCCTCTTTCAAATAAAAATATTTCATTAAATGAGTCAGGGAAGAGCAGCCATAAGAAACCTTGGATTTTCAGTGTTTCTGTAGCAATATGAGGAAAATGATTTCTAGTTTATTATTTTATATAAGAAAATGTAGTCCTCATTTCCTCCTCAGCATTCCTTCATTCATTCAGAGAACAAATATATAAATTAACAAAAATAAATAAATGAAACTACTAGTGCAAATATAATTTGTATTGGGCAGAACTGACAGGCCAAATATTATCCAATACTCAAGTGAACAGCATCATTATTTGTTTTATATAATTCCTATCTTAATGGATTTAAGACAAAAAAAAAAATCTTTTTGCCAGAATAACTGTAATTCAGAACTACATAATTGCTTCTAACTTCAAAGCCATGAGTCTCTTTTTCATTCATTTCAGAAGTTCCCATTTAGAAAACATGCATGCTGCTGTCCTTCTTATAAAAGAGATTAATATGCAATGTATTCATTATAAACTTGTATTAAGTGCCTTGAAGAAATCACAAAGGGATCTGGGAGGTGACAAACAATTTGTATGAAGCAAGACATTCCAACAAGAGTGTCTTTTAATAGACATTGGCAACAATTCCTAACAAGATTGTTTTTATGATTTTTCCCTCTTGCTACCCAGCTGTTCCAATGCAATCCCAAGTTTATGAATTTAGTTGTTTGAATATTTTAAAGCACATAAAATATGGAAGAGGAGTTTGTATCACAACATTATACTAGGAGCAAATGTAGGGTTTCACTCCAGATGGGCTTATGGTAATACCAGCTCCAGCAACGAGACCTGACAAACATTTTGTGTTTCATTTTAAAATTTTGATTTACTTTTAAGATTATGAAGTAGCTTGGGATCTGCTATAATTAATTTATTTTACTCAAATTGCCCTGTCTAATTTCAAATATTGCAGGACTCATACAATGAAATTCTGCAGCAGAGAAGGCTTGTACAGAATATTTTTTTACTGCATGGAAAAAAAAACCCTCTAAAAGGTTTGGGTCCATTGCATGCATCTAAGTTCAAATAGTGTGGCAAAAAATTGTCCCATTTTTCCCTTAAAATTCCAGAAGCGGAAAAAAATACCAGAGTAAAATGTACTCTATGCAAGGTTATGCAAGGGGACTATTAAATGCAATGCACTTTATTATGGACTGAAAGAGATTGATGGAATCAATGGGAAAATATATGGAAAGCTGTATATGGAAAATATATGGAAAGCCGTGCTTGAATGAATGATGTAAAAAAAGAAAATTATTTGAATAAGAAACACAGGTATGAATCCAAAAGAATAGATTTTATATTTAGAATCTCTAGTCCACATCTGCCTGGTATTCAAAGAATATATTAATTCAGTTGCCATTTGCCCTCTTTAGCTCATCTAGCAAACAGTTGTGTTACACTGGTCATGCCTGTTCCCTACCCTACCCCACCTCCAGTAGCCATTTTGTGCAATGACCTTGGTCATTTTTCAATAATCTAATTAGTCTCAAAAGCTTTTCTTAATCTGCATTTCTTGTCACGCATTTTTATGTCTACTTTCTCTGATATTTGCACTTTTAATGAGTTTTTGAATTGGAAATGACATCATGAAGTTATTAATTTCTTTATGAATTTCAGCATATATATATGTATATATAAAGATTTCCTGTACATTTTACAGCTCTCAATTTAATATGGTCACCTATATAGACCTAGTGTCTCACCCCTCCCTAAATATAAGTTATGAGACAGTATCATACCACTGTAATCAGTGTTGATCCTCAGAGAAAAAGAGTCTGCAGCTGGAATGATAAACTGTACTGTGAAAATTTTAGAATGATAAAGGATTGATCAGGATCTGAAAAAGAGAGATCTTATTTATAAAGAGTTCATACTCTTTATATCTTCTCAGATGCTTTAATTGTAGTTTATTTTACATTACTATTGATTAATTGATATTTAATTAATCAATTATTACCCATGTTTGTCAACAAATGCTGTATATATTACCTTTATAAGCATGAATAATATAGGGCTTTACAGATTTTCAAGGGGATGTTTTGATTCTATAAAGTGTGGAGAAAAACAATAGGGCTTCCTGTTTCCAACCAAAAAAAAAAAAAACGTATTAGCCTCATTGCAGATAATAAGATTAAGAATAAGTTTAAGAATGTATTAAGAATAGCCACCTCAATTCCTTCTCTTTGCTCACAACTTTTCACTTTAAATATTGTTTTTTTTTCTGACTGGCATCACAAATCCACATGACTGGTATAGTGGTTGTTAGGAATGGTATGTGTTAGATTATAACTGAAAAGATCAAAGTCCGAGTCTATTCTTAGTCATGGCAATTCACTAGGGGACTTATAATGAGTCAATCTATTTTAGCTCCGTCTTTATCAGTCCCTACCAGACCAGAAAATCAACTCCACAAGACTAGAACTAAACTTTATTGAGACAGGCTATAATATTAGAATCTTGCAAGCCAGATTATGCTTTAGCTCCCTTTCTTCTTATATGCAGAAAAATCAGAGAGGAGCCTGTCCAAGTTGTTTCAAATTCTATCTTGCTTCTTGGGACTTAAAGAATGTTTCAGCTCTCCTTGCTTATGTAACAGTTCTTGCATATTTCTGTCAAGGTAATCTTCCTTATTCTCTACAGTCCATCCCAAAAGTTGCTGTTGGGATAAAATTAAGGAGATTCCCATTTTGCTCCTGGAGAAATGTGGATTATGAAGATTAATATGTTTATATGTTTTCTTTCCACAGCCTCCAGCAAGATCCTCCTTCACCATCTCTCTCAAAATCCAGAAAAGGCATTGAGCCTTTGCCAATGGCAAGAGATGCTGCAGAGGAAAAGGAACGGTAAAGACACATGAAGAGCCACATCAAGGCAGATTGCCTAGTTCCTTTCTTTGCCTTAGCCAGGCAAATTGTATTTCTTTCCTGGTGCAAAGCCCCTCACTGAAGCAAAGCAAAGCTTCACGCGGCACTAATAAATAGTGATACAAAAAGATCTCCAGTGCTTCTAGGGAGTTAATGAGAAAGAGCTTTGATTTTACTATATAGCCAGCAAGATGTTTTATTTCCAGCCTCAGTATGAATATTCTAAATAGAAAGAAATGTATAAGCATAAAGAGGGCAATTTACACTGAAGATGTTAATCAGCTTTCTTACATATGCAAGCATCTATTTTAGTTTGTGTTCTGCAAACATGCAGAGATACATTTATATTTAGGACATGGATTTTTTTTTCCTATTAGTGCACAAAGGTACCTAGATATTTCTCTGAATATGAGAAAGCAAATATACTTCCCAGAAAGTAAAAATGGATGGGACAAGTTTCTTTTTGAACTTTAAAATATCTAAGGGTGGGAAATGGCAATAGGATTCATATTCTTACTGAATGGTTTTAGCTATCGTTCTTTTACTTATTTTCTTATTCCTTGTATCATATGAATTGTCTCCCTTAGACAGACACACTGCTTTTAAGATCACTGCAAGATAAAGGCTTCTACTTTTGCTCCTGTTTTCCTCCATTTCAGCTATCATTTATATCAGCCCCTTTATTTCCATTTCTATTCTATAAAGTGACTCTGCAAAGCCCCCATCCTCCTCTATCTCCTCCTCCTCCTCCTCTCCTCACAGGCAATCCTTCTGACAAATTGTTTAGACATGTGAAAGTATTTCAAAGCCATTAAGGTTGCCACAGTGTAGTTCTGTGCTGAATATACTCCTTAAACCATGGGATCCAAAAGTTGAAGTCATAAATATATATATTTAAATGTCAGGGGGAATCTATATATTCAGATGCCTCGTGCTTTGCACACAATTCCCAGTACTATATCCCTTCATTTCCTTTTGCAAAAAGATGTACAAATTGCCCTTCAGCGGAAGTTGAAGAAAAAAAGATCCAAGTACACACAATTTGGATCCTTTTGACAGCTTTTCTCCCACCAGGTGGCTGGATGCTCAGTTTATTAACTTGGAAAAAAACCTCAAGGTTTTTGATAAATTGTTCTTCTAAATATGTGTATTCATTAAATGCCCAAGTCATATTTACAGGGTAAAAAACATTGCATGAAATTTGGAAATGATTCCTGGTGCCAAGAATCTAGGAGAAAGTTATTCAATGGATGGAATTCTGCATACAATTACCTGAAAGTAATTTCAGTGGCAATCAATGGGGCCTTGCGCTGACTAAATGAAGATAAAATTGGGCTGCTCCAATATGGGTTCCAAAGATTGATGCATTTGGTTCCACCTGTAGTAACTCTCTTCTCTCTAAGTCAGAAAATTCATTCCACCATTTCTATTAAACAGCATCCTATTTAATATTTGAATAGAAACAAAAAATGTCATTGTCACATGCTGCAGAAGCCAGTGTCTGAATTAGTTTATGGGAATTTTAGATGATTGGAATGGCTTTTAAAGTACCATCAAAGTATTTTCAATTCTGTAGAATTAATCATAAAATCTGTTCCTGCCAGTTCACTTATCTATACGAAATATTAATTTTGATCAAAATTAAATCAGACACCCACTGACAGCAACATTTTGCCCTTCAGAACTCCCCTTCATATTGATTTATTAATAGCTGCCAGAAGAGTGCACCCTAGCAATTTATTACTACTTTCTCAATGTTTTTTTGAGCATACAAATAGTCCTCCAAACTAAGAGGTCCTATATGGCATCATTGTGACAAGACTACATTCTTCAATTTGCATAATTATCTTTAGATTTACTGAAAGGTAGAAAAATAGATTTCATTTTACTATCAACAGGGATGGAGAAATTCATTCTTTTTAAAGAAAAAAGTTTTCAGGCTTCTAGAAATATTGTGTCACTTTAAGAAAAATAAGTCTGGCTCATTTCACATTTTCACTTGGAGGCTGGCAAATTATTTAGCTTGTTTAAAATGTTTTAATTTTGCTAATATAATTTCTGAGCAGAAAGAAACCCAGCTATACATTTATTTTACCCAGGCATAAACAAAAATAGATATATACTGTACAAACATATATTGTACATGTACATACACATGTTTATGCTCATATATGTATGCATACAGCTTTCCCCAAAAAGCCTCATTTAGCATACTGAGTTGCCACAATATGTCCTGTGCAGTGATATACAGTGTTGAAAAGCTGTTGGTCTAAGGAATTAAACACTAGCAATGGAAAAATATGTATTTCTGACTATTCTGTTAGAAATCTAGATTACATTTTATTTTCTATTGATGATCTGTGACCAGTTCTGAAAATTGGTCCAAACATGAAAGACTTTAATATTTTAATAACATTATTAGTTAACTACTATTTCAATATTTTACCAACAAGCTGTTAGGTTATTCTGAGATGTAACAAGTTAGTATTACTGTTAATAATATGGTCCCCTAATGATAGTCCACAATAGATTCAGAGTGTTCTTAAGACAATGCCTCATGAACTGAGCAGTGGTCAGGGTTAAACTCACCAGTCAATTTCTATTCATATGGGGCAGCATAATTACATTTCAAAATTGATCCTTCAGTTTAGTGAATATTTCTTTGCCCTTTGTTTATCTACTTCTAGTTTTCTTTATCGGGATACTTTGGAAGCTTCTTTCAAATTTGGTTTCAAAGCATGTTTAGGATTGTTTCAAGGTAGTGGACAAGATTACCACTGCTGTTGCTTTTTGTTACCAACTCTTCACTCTGCAATCCCTTTTGGATAGTCCCATTTTTCTAAACTGAAAAATATCCATTGGAGGAGGACCTTATTGTAGTTTTGGGAACTTTACTAAATTGTAGAAAATCAGGGAGGATGCAGATTATTGAGGATTATCGGTGCCCTAAAATGAAGGACATTTCATACATTCATAATCAACAAGACATTTAAATCTTGTTGATTAAGTTAGTAAAAACCTTACATTTTAATTAAGAATTTCATGTCTGTCTGTCTATCTATCTATCTATCTATCTATCTATCTATCTATCTATCTATCTATCTATCTATCTATCTATCATTGATCGATGCATCTATCTATGCATCTATCCTTCTGTCTATTTATTTCCTCTCTTTCCCTTTGATTCCCCCTTTCCCACCATATTCTTCTAAATTGTTAAAACTGCAATGTGGAGTCACTGGGGAAGGCATTGTATACTCTTATTTGTAAAGAACTAGCTATTCACACAAGTTTTTACATCACAGTTCCTTTGCTTTGAGAGTGCTAAGTTATTTTGTTGTTACAAGGTGTATCCTGAAAATCCTTTGATATATAAGATGTTATCAATAATGTGTGTGTGTGTGTGAGAGAGAGAGAGAGAGAGACAGACAGAGAGAGAGAGGGAGGGAGGGAGAGGGAGAGAGAGATGTTTATCCATGGGCTTACATATGTAAACAAGCACCTAGATGCAATGAGGTTCTCTTCCTTACTGAATATGGAAGTCTACATCTACATCGGTATCGATACAGGTCCCTCTCAAATTTCCTAGGTACATGCAGAGTAGGACGCAAGATCTTGGCTAGACATCTGCAGAATTAAACTTAATCTTTACAGTCCTGTGAAGTGGGCTTTTTGTGTATGTTTTGAATTCATTAATTCTCTCCCCAGCTCAAGGAGATAGCATTTCTTGTCTGCATTATACGAAAAATAAAAAAAAAATGAATCAGTTTGTTTCTGGACATGTTATTTAAAATTCTGCTCAAGATTCACTTGAAGGGTTTTTAAAAAACAGTAATTTTTTATTCAAATGCATATTTAAATATTAAGTTTTGAATATATTTACTGAAATTCTGGCACAAAGTATCAAAGACACTTTTTCTTAAAACAGATATTTTAAAATGTGCATTGATGTAGTTTTCCTGAAATTGTGACACTACATTTGAAAAAGCAACATCTAACTGTGAGCTACATTCCAGTAGCAATTATAAGACACTTTAAATCAGGGTCATTTCATGTCATTAGTTTCAAAATTAAACTTTGTAATTAAACTTTCTAGACTAATACAATGGACAACATTAACATCCTTCATTCTTGATCTTGATCTGAATAATGATCAATGGCTATCCTCATTCAGTTAATTGTCAGTAAGATTCCAGTTCCATAATTTTTAGGTTAATAGAGAACAATTTTTTTAAACATACAATGTGGAGAAATTGGTTAGAAAAATTATTGAAGTGCAAATCAATTATTCCACTCATTGGTTCTGTTCATACTTAACAAGGTCAGATAAACATCTAACAGATGCATTTACTAAGCTTGGTTAGCATTAACCTTGGTCAGGTAGCTGCTGTTAATTTATGATTCACTGTATTGTGCAAATATTGAAAATTAGTTAATTTATCAACCAGGTTAAGAGTGTTTATAAACACAACCACAATGTGGATTTTTCTCATTTTCAACAGTAGTTATATCCATTTCTATACAAAACAGTATTCAAAATTCCAAGTGTGCAATGTGCAATATTGAATTGCAAGTGAATATGCATAATTGCATTAGATCAAAGCTTTTAAACAAATAATGTTTACTAACAGAAAAAGAGGGAAGAAAAACATTGATGGGGCTAAGGTCAATTTAGGAAAGAATCCATAGAATGATTATAAATTCATTCAACTACAGTATATAAATAGATTTCACATTATATTTGTTTACTGTGATGCTTCTTCAGATAGTCAGGTTCTGTCACTTTACACAGATACTCAGATTTTATAGTGATGGACGTAATCTCTTTCATTTTTTGTCTCTTACCTGCTTCCATACACACACAAATACACTTAACTGGACTTATATTATCCAATTTGTTTTTTTTTTTTTTTCAAAATAACAGAGATTTTATTTTGCTTTGGGAATCGTATCAACGAGGGGATGGCTGATGTAATTTGCAAAACTTGGGACTTCCTACTGTGAAATTAATACTGAATATCCTGTCCCTTTCTATATGAATTATAAAGGAAACTCATATAGTTGCAGATATCCCTTATGATGAACTTCTAAGAAATTATCCATCCGATAGAGAATTCATTGTGCTTTAGGAGATAACAGCTAAAAAAGATAGCTCTTGAGGTTGTTCCACTGGTCTGTTATTAAAATCATGGAGTCAATGTGAAAAGAAAAGAAATTTGATGTTTAATATAAAACTATGTAGAATCTCCAGTGGAGTTTGAATATAGGAACTATTATAGACTTGTTTATGACACAAAACCTCTGAAATACAGAAAGAGCAAATGATGTAGACAATTTACTGTTTGATTTCAACCATTTAAGGAGAATACAATTCCTGTTCACTGTCAACTATTCTTGATCTGAAGCACACTATAAGGATCTATGCTGCCCGTTATCTACATCACATGTGGGCAACCGGCTGGATGAAGCTTCCACGTAGAAGATACTAACAAAATATAAGCACAACGAAATCAAACTTGAGCATTTTACCTATTGTAATTATAGCTCAAACACATTAGATAGGCAGGCAATTGCAAAAAGAAAGAAAGAAATCTCAGTCCAAGCCAAATAAAACAGAACACACCGTTTCTGACTCCATCACAATCATGTTTCATAAGTAAAATGGTTTCAACATATTAATTTTTCAGAGTGCTCCTCTACTACTTTTATGAACCACCAAATGTTCTTGATCATTTCATACCCAGCATGTATTCCATAATGTGCAGATTCCCTGTTGTTCACAAATACATACATAGTTAGACCCAGCAATGGCTTATTTGACATTTTTAAGGGCAATTATGCTAGTAGCTGCAGAAGGGGAAGCACACATACACACACATATACAAACACAACTTAATAGCAAATAGCAAGACATTGTGTGCTTATGTGTAGAACTACAAAAATATGAGGTGAAAGAGCAAAATGGTCAAATGAGAGGGGGAAAATGGGAATGGTGAAGACAAAGGGGTTTATTCTTAGTGAAACCCTAATACTGTGATTCTGTGTTTGTCTATTCAAATAAAAGCCCCACTGAGCCTATATAAAAATTCATAAATTTTTGCTTAAGGCTCCCAATTATTAAATAGTCCATCACTAATTAAGATATTCTTCACATAGCATTCTTGAAGTGATCTACATCCACTTTTCTTCTGACCTGGTAGTAATTTACTATTATAAAATTTATATAGGATTGTAATTATTTTTGTGTGAGATTACAAACAATCCATTCCTAAAACAAAATAATAAAACAGAATTAGATAATATCATAAGAACTAACCAGATGACCAGAGAATCTCAGTCCCAGCTTTCTGATCAATTATCCCAAAACAACTGGAGCACCACTTGAACACCATTGGCATTGACAAATTCACTATTAGTCAATTGCAAAAGGCGGCCTTACTA